GTGCAGTGACAACCAACATGTCAAACCCGGATACGTTACCAACCGCTACAACATAATCACCTCACCTGCACGTTGTTGGTAGCCAGACCCAACGCCTTGAACTCATCTGACATCCCCTTCATCTCGTCTCCCAGCGCGGCGATGTACTCATTGTACACCGGATCCGTCACTCCGCCTATGCGCATGGTCCGATACCTCTTTGTAAGCACGGGTTTCCTCGTCTTGATTGCCTGCACGTCACGCTCGCATTCCCACAGCAAACCGCACACTGTTTGAGGCACGATTCGTCCATGGTAAACCGCACTAAAGGACTACTCTCAATGCCCAGCATGGTACCACATGCACCCTTACGCACCTCGCGCAAAGCGGACGCGTACTGTCGCCCACCCCCCGCGTCTGCCGCCACCTCACGGTACACCTCTCGCTGCACCTCCTCCTCCACAATGCGTCGTGGTATGTCGCTCCAGTTGCTCCCTCTTACTGGACCCTTAACCGTGCCCTTGTGCGTGCGCTCCCACATTTCAGTGGAATAGTGGTGCGGCATCCCACGGTGCACAACGTTGTCCAGTAAATGCCTGATCATGTGTATCTTTGGGAGTCTCCAGTGGGACGCCTGCGTTGGAAATGCTCTCGGTAGCAACTCCACCAACCTGCCAACGCGTCCACGATAACACACACCACGCGATATATCATCGTGTGTTACACCACATTGGCCGCACAAACAATTAGCATACGCTCTCATTCCCCCCTCCAAACACCCGGAATATGCATATATGTACTCACGCTATCACATGCTGACGGGCAATCGCAATTGTTGTGTGAGTGTGCCTGTCCACCCCCAGAAAGGCCTTGTAAAACACGGCAAACAGCCTGAACGCTTTGACCTGCAAAGCACGCAGCTCTCCCTCTTTTCCACCCTTCAGCGCACTCTCGTCAGCCACCAATATCGGCATTATCTGCATCATGCTCCTGTGCTCGAACGCCGCGTAGTTTGCGCCGGAACTGAAGAACGATGAGCCCCCTGGGATTCGGAGGAGAACGCTAGGCGTGATTCCCTTGAACTCCTTCTTGCGGCTGCGCACATACATGGTTCCAGGTGGTCATCTGGTGGCACACAGGCTGTGCTACTACCCAACTAACCCACCCATGGTAGAGCATGTCCCGCTGGCACACCCAACCACACCAAGCTCACCGTTCAAGCAGCCTCATCTCAACCTTTCCAAGCGGTTCGATGTAGGTGTCCATCATGTGGATCAGCACACCGGAGTCCAGCACATGCAGTGTGTCTGCCAGGCATGCCCGGTACACGTTGCCCCACTCTGTGTCTGCGAAATTCCACCTGTGAAGCACACACTGCATGGTCCAACCGAAGACACAATGCTGTTAAAGAGTCCACCGCGTATTACAAGCCAGCAAACTACCCATCGGCTAACACACCTCGATCGGATGGGTTGACCATAACTTCCGCAGTTCGTCAGCCTCCCCTTTCTTCTTACACTCCAGTATCTGGCGGACAATGTCCCTCTGCTTCTCTGGGGTACGTGGATCGGCCTTCCCCACCGTCATGGTCAACTCCCCCTTGTCTGCATAGCAGTTAGCGCATGGCCGATGTGACCCTTGCTGAAGAGTCGCAGATGCTCTGCTGGATTCCGGGAAGTCGGCAGGGTATCCGTACAGGCAAGGGACCACCTTGTGCACCTTCCCGTCCGCATCTGTGCAGTAGAAGAAGCGAACTGGAGCGCTGCACAGTGTAGTGATGCACACATGGTATGCAGTTAGTCGATGGAACATGTACATTACTCAACCCACATTGCCTACTTGCTGGGGTGCCCCCCAGCCCCTTGCAATCGTAGCGTACTCCTCCCCACCCCCCTCCCCTCCAAGTACCTTGCAGACTCTCGCATGATGGGCGCGAGGATGATCTTTAGTGCCTCCTGGAAAACGCGCGTCTTCTCCGTAGGCGATGCCCACTCAGGTGGGAATGGAAGCACCGCCGCCAATGTGTGCCCAGGCTCCACTCCACGCAATTCCTCTGGTATGTTAATAAGTGAAATGAGCACCGGCCATGCGTTCCTCCGTCCATTCCGTGATGCCTGCGTGCTATCACTGTATATCAGCACGCCTAGAATGAGTGCCTCTTCGTCATTAATCTCCTTCTGCCATGTAGAACGCACTGAATAGTGAGATGTGGTTATTCGAATGCATCTAGCATGTTCTGCTGCACACATGAAATAGGGACAGGCTGACCGATTCTCGTACCTGAGCAGAGTGCATCCAATCACCCGTCTCAGGGCCTTCAAAAACCCTCTCGTTATTCTTCTTCCGATGAATCTTCCTTGGTTTCCAAACGAACCCCTTCTTCGATGAGAACGTTCGCACCAGCTTCTTCAAAATCTGCGGGCATCGCGTTAGAATCAGGTGTGAGCGCGTGTATTCCATGGAAATGCATACGGCCGACACTACATTACGACATCGCTAGCTGCGTTGGCCTCCCATTACGAACCAGCTCTGTGTCGCGGAAGTGCAGAAGCAGCTTCATTTGCATTCCTTTGGGGCCCCGCACCACTATCTCCTCCGTTTTCCACGGGACCATGTCGGCTGGAGCTCGCGCCATGCCCCAGCGTCGCACGTCCACCCAGTTGCGCCATCGTCTGAGTGCCCGTAGGTTGAAGCGCGGGTTGCGGAAAATGTGCAGCAGACGGTTCACTTCCCTGTGCGAAAGATCGGCGTCACGGAAGAATAGGTACAACTCCGTCAGTGTATCGAAGATCTCCTTCCTTTCGCTGTCTTCAGAGGACTCGGCAGGTTCGCCGTCAGGTCGTGTATCCGCGTCTCCAACAAGGCTAACTTCGGGGATCGAAGCTGTTGGAGCAGCAGAAACAAAACTGCCATCGTTATTTTTAAGCCGGGATGCCGGTGGTGTGTTAGGTCTACTCTCTCCGTCACATGCAATGGCTTCCAAATATGCCGCCCACAAAAGACTCTCTCGTTTCCTCTTCAACTCCTCGCGACAAATTGCCCCATTAGCGACATGCGACTGTAACCTGCTGTCGTCCTTAAACACCGTCTCGCACACCATGCAACTGTTCCCCGTCATCCTAGAGCCAAGAAACCCTAGCTGGGCCAGTAGTAGGACCACTGCTGAGTACCTCAGGTACACTCTAATACAACTCCGAGGACAAACTTCTCGAACACACATGTGCAGGAAACCGTAGACCGTGTGCACAAAATAGCGGATCTTGTGTTACAATTAATGAAAGTACACCCAAGTGTTAATTTGGGGTATGAAATTGTACATTTCAACTGATAACTCTTTGACACATAAAGGCGTAGAGCCATTTATATTTACACTGGAAACATGTTGGGAGCCAACCCCAAACTCCCAAAGTCTGCACTGAATTTGTGTGGAATGTATCACATTTCACTTAAACAAGCCCCGCATATAACAGCAATATACAGATATAGCAAACCATTGAACAACCGCGTTCACCAGTACACGATTATCTCAACCCGGGCAACTCTGCCAGATCATCATCAAGACTTGGCGCGCGCTGGAGACACAACGACCACATGTGCCCCCTACCGCGTACGTCGTTATCGGTTTCCGCGTCATTCGGATTCCGCAATAAATCGTATTCAAATGGCGAAACCACAATGTATTCCATGCACCGGGTTTGGTAAACCACCCACACCGAGGACCACATCAACAGAAACCCTAGGCTTCTCACACGTGGATCTGCTTGGCACCTCACCATCACATCCAGTCGAGTTGTCGCATCACACCTGGACATCGCATGCGATGTTGCGCCAACGGTGTCGACCATTGGGTATATACATGACGTTCGCACCAGCTGGACATTGTAGGCAAGGGTTACGCCTTGCTCTCCCCTTCCTTCCGAATAGTGCCATTGTCGCGAGATCCCATAGTTGCTGTGCTCACCCAGTCATCCCCTCCGTGCTCACGTATTAATCTCCCTTCGTCTTCCGAATGCCTGTCAGTGTTCGTTCATGATGGCGAAACCTAAGCAGTTGGTCTCTAAGCGCAACCGGTTCTATGAACCGGAGACTAGCAGCAGCTCCGATGACCAAGATGCTGCCCCGCCCGTCACCAGATCCAGGTCGTCGAACAAGGCCGACAATAGGGCTCAGAAGTTCGCGAATCATGTGGTGGAAAAGGCGCGAGAGCCGGTGCCGGACGACTTGGTGGCCACTATCGCCCGGAATTATGTGAAATCATCGTACAGCAACATGAAGCTCATGAATCACCGCGGTGTCGGATGTGAAGTGGATAAGGACGACCTCATGTCCATAGAGGACGATCAGTGGATTACTGATGGTGTGATCGACATTCTACAACGTGTAAGTGTCGTTCCGACAGTCACACCCCTGACGCGACATGTTGCGCGATTATTACGGATCTCGTGGACCCTGATGTGCTGATATGAACTTTTTCGTGCACTCGGCAGGCTGCTTAGCATCAGGAAGCCAAAGCTCCGTGATGGGAAGACATGGGCCGCTATGGACTGCAAGGCTTACACACAGACGAATGACTATGGAGCGCCGGTAACACTGGGAAACGGGCGGCCACTTCTGGATCACGATTATCTGGCGATCCCGGTGCTCGAGTCGTGAGTATCGTGCATAAAGTGCTTGTGAGTGGTTTCTGTTGTGAGCCGGGGTGTACTGTCTAACAACTAATCCGTTTAACCCCCCTCATGTTGAGCGCAGTGAACACTATTCCCTCGTCATCGCTATAGGTCCATCGGTGCTCACCAAGTCATCGAAATCTACGGGCAAGGAGCGCATGACGTTGGTCTTGCTGGACAGTTCCATCAAGAATCGGAATACCCGCAAGATTTTTGCAGGAACCAAGCTGTGAGTCATGGTTTTAATGACAATGTCTCCAGTTGTCGTACATGGTCGGTATTTAAAAACGCCTCTGGCCTCTTGCGTGCAGCGTGCTGTCCGAACTCGCCAAGGCGAGTAACCCAAACGCGAACATGGAGTTTGTGGACAAGATGCTGACAGAGGCGGACTGCATCATTCTACGGGTGAGCATGCAACCGGACTCTGTGGATACCAATGTGCAGTAAGCGCCCGCAAGTATACTGATTTCTAACTCGCATATGCGGTCCCGTATTTGCAGGAGGATAAGCTGCCACAGCAGCCTAACAAGGAGGACTGTGGGATTTTTGTTTGTCAGTACCTCAAGACCCTGGTGAATACCGACTTCACCACGGTTTTGAACGGCCTCTGGTTCCAGGGTGTGACACCGCACCAATACAAGCGGGAGATGTGGCGCGACTTGTGTGCACACGCGTGCGGAGATCTTATTAAACAGCTGGAGCACCTGGGGATTGAAATCCCCCCGCAGGACGAAGGCCGGGTTACCGATGAGGGGGCAGTGGTGCAGGAGAGGAACGCTGCTATGGGAGAGGGGAGGCAAGCTCCGGTCACTCGCCCTGTGGAGGACGCACGGGTTACGGAGATGATGAGGCGACTGGCGACGTTGAATAACGATGTGAGGTACCTGGACGCCAGCTTCACCGTACTCGCCAACTTTGTAGGGCTGAGGCGGGACGAGGTGGTGACAGTTGCAACCCAACTACTGCTGCATGGGGGTCACGCGGGGACCGGCGCGAAAGCAGAGGCGGGTGGCACCAAGAATGCTCCACGCACTCCACAGCGTCCGTCTGCACGTAAGAGGCGGGATGACAGCAGTCCTGAGGAGGATGGCGTGCGCAATGCCACCCGGGTTGCGCTGGCCTCCACGTTCGCTGCATGTGAGCCGACATCGACCTTGCTGCAGAACCCGCACCTTGCGCATGGGACCATACCTCACTGGATGTTCACGCGCGGGATGCACCTGCTCGGGGCGGGTGTGCCAGCTGGAGCTGACGTGTGGGGAGACACGCGAGGGAAGGAGACGGTGAAGGCCGAAGAGGAGGAGGATCTCGTGTCAGACACAGACGACGAGGAGGATGATGACGAAGCGTGTGCCTCCAGATACACGGGTGTGAAGTTGGATAAAGCATCCGGCAAGTACGGCGTGAAGATCCTGATTAAGGAAGGTGGAAAGCGTAAGCAGCAGCGGCTGGGAGCGTACACCACGGAGGAAGAGGGGGCGTTCGCGTACGCCGCAGGTGCGTTCGTGCTGAGGCCACGTGACAAGATACCCAACACGGTCAGCCTGTCAGCCGCAGAGAAGGCGATGCTGCGTGGTTGCACCAAAGAAGATTTGCAGATCCTGGTGGAAGCGCGGAAGTGGTGGAGGTGGAGGAGCTGGCGGGAGGCGCTGGATAGCGTGAGCAGCAAGCTTAAACGTGGCAGGAAGCGTGGGGGTGCCACAGGTACATCAAAGAGGCACAGGGTGGTGGATAGCAACACCATGGCTACCAACGAACCAGAGGTCCCCGACAATGCGGAGAGTGGGGGGACGGCCCCTGTGAGCGAGCAGGGCGGGGGTGCAAAGAACAAAGAGCAGGAAGAGCGAGGGGAAGACACTGGTGCACATGAGAACACGTCAGGCCCTGCTGCATAGTGGATGTATAGACAAAGCATATGGGAGACAGGTCGTGCACGTAGTTGCTTAGTCTTGTATTGCACTTGCTAATGTACAGCGCTTGCTGTAGTGTGCATGTATGCATGTGTAATAAACGTTACGACGTGTGCGTACATGGTGTGACCGACATGTGTTGTAATCCGGTTGTGTAATCGTGCACTTGGTGTGCTATATTACGAAGTGGTGTATGAAATCACTGAATACCGAGAACCGGTTTGCGAGCCTGATGGCAGCAAAAACGAGGACTATGGATACGGTTATGTCAACAGGATGTGCGCAGTGTGTGGTTCTGCTGTGCACACATGCATCACTAGGTACGTTGACGTGGTGTCCATCTATTCGTCGTTTTGGATTGCGATCATCCAGATGTGTACGTGGTAGTTTTGCCTACCAAACTCATTGTGTACACGGTGCTCCGACGTGTTAAGAATTTGGGCCCCCAACTTTGTGTAGAAATATCGTATTGAGCGTCATTGTGAAAGCAACTCACTGCATACTTCCCTTGCGAAAATGGATACCTCAATTGCTTCCGACGATACGAGGGGTGGAGGCCGGTCGCGACGTGTCTCACTCCCGCCGGCGTACCTGCGAGCGTCGTACCAGCTGACGATGCCGCGAGGTCGACTGTCGAACGGGAAACGTGGGGCGACCATTCCTAAGCGCCTGAGCTTAGCCAAGAAGGGAAAGGAGGTGGTGCAACCGGAGCAAGGTATGCAGCCCGAGCATGTGTGGATGTGTCATGACGTTATTACTGTTTTTTGTCCGCTCTGAACAAACTCGGACCCCAGTGACATGCCATTTGCTAACTTGGGGTGTTGTGCCTTTGTGGTGTTTCGCTCACCCACAGATGACGGGACGGGCGCCGAAAGTGCAGATTCGTCCGAGCGCAGCGAGGAGGATGACGAGGAAGGCTCAGACACATCGGCCAGCGCCTCACACGAAGAATCCGCCGACCCTGCTCCGGAGGCGAAGACGAACGACGATGGGTGTGCGGGAACCGCTGCGCCCAATGCTGACACGCGCGCAAGCCAAGGCGCGCGGGACACGGATGTGCCTCGAGGTGACGGCCGAGGACATGCGGACGGACCTGTGGACCGCACATGAAGGAACACGTTGAACCCAAACGGCGATGACGTGCGCATCCCGAGCAGGGTCCTCGAGCAACTTATACAGGCTCAGGACAAGAGCGCCAAGGAGAACGCGCGGTTGGAGGCGCTGTTCTTGAATGCGATGTCTCGGCCTTCCGGTGGCTCTCGTAAGCGTAAGGCGCAGAAGCAGAGAGACCCGGGACAGGGGTGTATGAACCCGAAGCGTCAGCGTGGCGAGACGTGGAGTGGAGGGTCCGACGACGAGGGCGAGGACGACGAGGACGACACGCATGGTTCTGGTGGCCGTCATATGCGTACCGCAAAGTCCCCTATTCTGCAACGCGCGCTGGAGCATTTGCCGACGGACAAGGCGTGGAAGGTGAGCGGGCATGTTTCCGGAGGGGTCTATTGAACCGTCTTCGATTTGGAGTGCACTGATGTGCAGTTGACGCTCATCGGATGACGCTTACTTTGTTCATCGTGTACACCATACGTGCGCAGAGGGTTTGCGAGCTCGCCAGGGTGCACATGTTTCTCAACAGGCCGACGTCGACGATGACCTTCTACCCGAGCAGCGACGATAAGACTCATGGAGTGTGTGCGGTGCTGGACCGCCTGCCGCATAGCTTCGCTTGCTTGGCGTTGGCGGCTGACAAGTCGCGACGCGCGGACCTCAACAAGACGCTCTCTGAGTGGAAGACGCGGGCCGTCGCCCGCGTGCGAGACATTGCACTTCCCAAGCTCGGCTTGTTCCGCGACGACAGGGACGCATCCAGCCCGTGGGCACCAGAGAAGGAGCGCAGTATCGAGAAGATCCGGGAGCGCATTGGGCTTGGCGCTGACCGCCCTGGTGAGTGCCATGAAGACAGCAGGTGGGGTCGCCTACGTGTTGGTATGCTGACAATGAGTGTATGGCGGCCATTGACACTGACTGTGCGCATGTGGTGTGCAGAAACCCTGGTGCTCACGAGCTGGGCGACAGACCGGGACGGCATGCCGTTTGCCTCTCGGGCGTTCGCGACATGCGCGAAGGCTGCATTCAGGCCTAAGAAGGCCGGGCTGGTGATGACTCTGAAGGTGTACCACCTGGCCTGGTTGGAGCATGTGGTGAGTTTGTGCGCTCAATGTGTGCACGGTTTTTGCGTTGTACTGTCGTACCATTTGAGTGACAAGCTGGGTGTTTCCGCAGGTCTCCGACTGCGTCCTCTACTGGGAGGAGAGGAAAGGCCGGCTTTCCAACTCGGCCGGGGGAAACGCCCACGTTGTGGACGACCTCAAGGTCCTGGTGAAGGAGGCCGTGGAGAGGGCGATCCGGATCCGCAACCCGGAGTATGACGCGGAGCGCGAGGCGTGGACCTGGGGCCGCCATGGACTGCGCATCTCTGCGTGCGGCCTGGAGCACATGAAGCCCACCGCCGCAGCTCAGTCCGAAGACCTCGTGGGGGATGACGACCTTTCGGCGTCAGTTGGTGCTGAGTAGGCCGACTGGCGTGGGGGGCGTCATGGATCGTGTTGCGGACCGTTGAGGGGACAGGTGGTGGAGAGGTGTCTCAGGCATCATTATCTCTTCTGGTTGTGGGTCTTGAGTAGCAGTTTAGTGTGCACGGGTTTTTGCATGTGTGTTAATGGAAGTTACGGGGGTTAGTTGTATGCATGGTTGCGTAGTATGTTTGTGTGTGCGTTCCAACGTTAATGTGAGGAGGCTTTATGGGGTATTGATGCAGATGATAGCACAACACCTACACCACTAGGATGCGGAATGCATCAGCCAGGCCGTCCACCAGGTGTGCGGGATGGCGTGGAACGCGCCGCATGTTGCGGCGCGTTTCACGGAGTGTGCCATATGTCACGTAAATGTGTGGACGTAAGAGTCTTCGCGGTACGCACGCGTTGACATCTGGTTGGATATTCAACATGGATAAGAGATGACGAGGAACCAATTGCACATTAGTGGCGTACACGGTGGACTACGCGTGTCACCATCCAGTACGGACGCGAAGATGAGGTTGACGGTTGGAAACGCGGTGTGATATGCGCGGAGGGTGAGACAGCTGTACGGTCGTGATTGTGTCGTGCAGATGACGCGAATGAGTGCAACGATGAGATGGTAACTGGTTACTAGATGTGCGAGAACGGGATCGACCGGCAAGTGTACGGGGTAGATCGAATAAGTGTGCGTGACGCGGCAGCTCGGTGGTAGAGACGATGTCCACTGATGGACGACGCAGATGGCGTCGTCACCTAGTAGCGTGTGAAAAACTACTGGGTGGCGAGTAATATGGCGAAGTGTACGAAACGGTGGCGGCGCGACAGGTGTACGGTGATTATGCAATGTAATGTAGGCTGCGGACGCACGATGCGCAAGTAGAGTGATGCGACGTGGTAGCATGCTAGTGGGTATTGAACGAGTGATTTGCGGTTAGCGCACCTGTGGGTTGGCACCAACTGTCACGTATGTACAGGGTGAGCATCGATCAGATGGACGGTGAAGATACTGGCGCTGTCTGTGCGCTGGCATGTGCGAGTTTATGTACAGGAGACACGTGAACCGTCGCGATTGCGTGACCCGAATGTGCATCCAACGGTTGGGGTGCGGGTACGTTATAAACCCTAAACGCTTACGTGGACGTGCGGGTTGATACTGGATGCCATGCCACGTGGGTGGGCGCGTACGGTGTGGCAGATGGGGTTGCTTACTCGTCACTTTGTAGTTGGTTGGCATGGTATGGTTGGGTAAACTTTTGTGTGGCGCAGCCCATGATTGTTGAGCAACTGCACGGATGCGGGTGTAGTGTCTAATTTGATGCACGCATATGTACAGAATGCATCGGGAAGGTGAACGCGAAGTTACTTTGTAAGTGACTGTGGCCATGCAGTTCTAAAACCTTGACTCAAAAGTGCCGGGCAAAAAATATCGGGAAAGTTTCGGAAGAGTGTATTTCGAGTTGCTTTCCGAGCTTGCCATTTTCGCGATGTAGCTAGAACGAGCTGTGAACTAGAGGGATGATGGAGGCTGAATCTGGGTAAATCTGGCTCAGCAATTGCTGCTATGCTATGCCTAGGCTTGCAAGTATCGGTACTGAGTTTGTGGATCTGCGCCTTGGTTCCTTTGCCTAGGTTCCTCTTCTTGTTCCCTTCGATGATTTCATGCCTCGTTTTCGCTGCCTCGATTTGGCTCTTCTCGCGGTAGAGATCGTTCGTCGAGCAAACTCACTTCCGAAAGAGATACTGTCAGTGCTGTCGTTGAGTTGCGAGTGTTACCTCGACTACGATGCGGAAATCCTTTTGCGAAATCAAACTGATCCAGGTGCACCCAGCCTAGGATCGTTTGCTGATCGAATACTGATCGATGTAACAGGAGCGACAGATCAATCCTTCGTCAACTCAAAATGCGAAATCCTGGATTCAATTCGTGACACCGCACCATCCAACGGATTCACGAGTGTTCATCTGTCTCGCTGGGTTTGCATCTTTTCCGCTCCACATGCGGCTGTAAATGCTCACAAGTACCTCATCGCGCCAGGCGCGCCTGCTCCGATCGATGCAATAATAAGCGCGGTTCCAGGCAAAGGTGGGTCAGTGCATTGTCGTAAATCGTTATCTCCCACTGATGTGATAGATATCGATCAGGGAGCAGGCCTATTTGGCTTCCGCTTTAACTCACTCCTGCTCGTCATAGAGAATGTTGAAGCCAGTCCTCTTCATGCACAATAACGGTGTATATGATGTCACGTCGAAATACACGACGATGAACAGGAAACGTTCAATCACCTTCTGAGGCTGCGAAGCTCCCGTTCATGCCTTATGTCGAGTGCCATCTGCGGTTTCAGAGGTTCTGTCGTCTCAGCGATTTTTTTCGTTCCGTCTCCTTCTTCTTCGCTGGTCGGTAGGTTTTTTTCTCATCGTCCACGTAAGATTAAGATTTCGTGTTGATTCTTCTCATCTTCATTTGCCATCCTGTCCTCATCCCTCACTCCTCTCCGTTTCACCTCCCTTCCTCCTCCTCGATTCTTTTCCCTCCCTCCTCTCCGCTTCCCCTCCCCTCCGTTATCCAGTTGACAGCGTTGAAATGCCCGTCCATTCGTGCGCTCGGCATTGCCACGTCATTCCGCCACTATGTCATTTCTGAAGCTGTCACACGCAACGATTGGAGGCCTGGTGGGTGCCTCCTCTTCTATAAGGATCCTCATTCTTTGCTAAAAGTTTCTCATGTGTGTGTTTGTGGAACATCTGTGGTTTAGGTATCTGTTGCCCCTTCATTTCCATGCCTTGTGTCTTATGATTCAGCATCGCTTCCCCCCCTTCCCTCGTTCCCTCTCGCTTCCAGTGCATAGCAGCAGGTCGCCCAGACATGCAAGTCGTTCAGAAGACACACCACCGCTCTCAACCGTGCCAACTTTAGCATATGCACTCTGCTCTGTTGCCTCTTCGCTCTTGCGCCTTCCTTTTCCCCTGCACCCATGCCTTTCGTTTAGGATTCTCAAAGTGACTTTCTTGCTCCTTCCCTTTCCTTGATCTTGTAGTGAACCCTCCTTTCTTCCTATCACATCACCTGTGTTTTCGCTTCCTTTTAAGGCACTCCCAGCGCCTCTCTGCCGGCGTGCTCCTCCTCTCTGGGCGCAGACGGGCTAGCAGGAGCGCTGCTGTGCAGCCTGCTCTACCCGCAACCCCACGTGCTGAACCCGCTGCTGGCGTCACTGGTACCCTGGCTTCCACTCATATCGCTGCTGCTAGTGGGGGGGATGGAAGTGGGGGGGGGCGGGGGGGGGGGAGGCTGGGGGTAGCAGGCAATTGGGTGGAGCAGCAGAGAAGGGGGCGGAGCGGAGGGCGTGGGAGTGGATGTCTGAGGAGGTGGTGAGGAGACCAGGGTTGACCAGCATCGTTCGGTTCAGGCCCATGACCAACCTCGGCCAGGCAAGTGCGTGCAGGAGTGCTTGACCCTTGTTTCCATGCACCCCATACCCTCCCTCCCATCCCTCCCCTCCCTCCCCTCCCTCCCCTCCCTCCCCTCCCTCTTTTCTCTCATCTCCCTGCCCTTGCTGTGCCGCTCGCCCCCCAAGACTCCCTATCATTGCTCTGCTAATGTCCCTCCCTCGTGTCTGACGTGGCTGCGATTTGATTTGATTCGTGCCAGTGGGTGGGAGCATGATGACGACAGCATGGCAGCCCTGTGGGAGCGAGACACACCTGCTACTGAGTTAACAACTGGCATGGTACGCAGTGGCTCACATGCTCGCACCTCTCATGCTGGCATCTTCCCGTGTTGGTGAGGTTGGAAGAGGAGAAAGGTAGGTGATGAGGGTTAGGAGGGAGAGCGGAGTGGAGTGGAGCGGAGTAGCATGTGCTTGTTGAGGTAACAACATTGTGGAGCATTGTGCTTGCTGCGGAGGAGGCAACAACATTGTGCTGTTGAGTGGAGCGGAGTAGCATGTGTCATGTCATCATCCCATATGCCATGTCATCATCCCATATGCCATGTCATCATCCCATATGCCATGTCATCATCCCATATGCCATGTCATCATCCCATATGCCATGTCATCATCCCATATGCATGTTATCATCTCATATGCATGTCATCATCCCATATGACATGTCATCATTCCATATGCCATGTCATCATCTCATATGCCATGTCATCATCCCACATGCCATGTCATCATCCCATATGCCATGCCATCATCCCATATGCCATGTCATAATCTCATTTGCCATGTCATAACTCCATACGCCATCATCCTAGTCGCCATGTCATCATCCCATCTGCTGCTGAATTGCCTCAACAGTCTGAGCAGAATGGACTTGCCTCTCAACACAGTCTAATGTACTCAAGGCCAATAGGCCAATAGGCAGTTCTGCACCGAAGTCATTTCCTCTGCCTCTTAACATTTCCTCCTGAGCTTGTGCCAGCCCTTCTGTTAGCCGGTCAGCTTTGCCTCACTCACTCCCCACTCCACCTCATCCGCCTCCCTGTCACACCCCCTTCCCTTGCCCTTGCCTTCACCTCTCCGCCCACTGCTCTGACCAGCCATTGCACGGGTCACAGGTGCACTGGCGCAGCAGTGGTAGCGGAACGTGGAGAATGCGAGAGAGGCAGCAGAGGCAAGGCAACGAGCAGAGCGACTCCTGAAAGACATTGAAGCCCACTACACCGGCAGGAGCACCTCGCAGCAGGGCCAGCAGGAGCAGCCTCTGCCTGTGAGGGAGGTGCTGTGGAAGAGAAGGCATCAGAGGGACGTTCAGGAGGAGGACTTGCAGCGAGGGAGGAGATTTCCCCGTGTTGTTGCCGCTTTTCAGGAAGCCTCCCTTGCTGGTGTGCCGGAGCGGGCAGCAACGGACCAGGCCTGTGCTGACGTGGCAGCGGTGGCGGCTTTGACGGGCCTCTCTCCCGAGGCTAACGCTGCGATAGGTTCGGATGGTTGGTGGCTCGGCGGGAGACCCAGGAGGGGCGGACTGGATTCCTGCTCTGGGGGAGCCTGTGTATGTGAGGAGGTTCGGCACCAGCATGCGTGGTACGGTGGTGGCAGTGGGTGGTGGTTCGGGAGAAGGCTTGGCAGAAGCAGCCGCTGCTCGGTCTGTGACGGTTCAACTGGGGAATCTGCGATTGCAAGTGCAGAGAGCAGACCTCCTTCCCGCCGCCGATGGCAGTGGTGATGGTAGGACTGATGGAGAGGCAGGAAGGAGGGGGCCCACAGGAGGGCTGTTTGGCAGCGAATGGGAGCAAGAGGATGACAGTAACAATAGCAGCAGCACGAATAGTACTAGGGGATTGAAGCGTGGTGGTCAGTTCCCCTCCCCGTCCTCCGCCTCTTCCACTCCTCTGCCAGCAGTGAGGGAGGCAGCAGTGCAGACAGCACGAAACACAGTGGATGTGAGGGGGCGGAGTGCAGAGGATGCATTAGCAGCGGTGGACCTAGCAGTGCAGTCCACCCCGGCTGGTGCTGTGCTCTTCATTGTGCATGGGCTTGGCACGGGTGTGCTTCGGGCAGCTGTGCTGAAATATCTCTTCAGGCAGCCCGCTGGTTTCGCGGCACGAGCCGGAAAGCAGGTTGAATATTGGCTGTACTATAGCATATATTGGTTGAGAAGGATTTGTGGTGCAGTTGCAGTGCTATTGGTGGAGATGTTGCTTACACATACCAGTAATGGCCTGGCCGCTGCCAAACCCAACACTGGTAGGTTCAGCTACTTTTGTGGGGCATACCGTATCTACACCAACACATCACTCCGTTAAAGTACCTACGGAAGTGGCTTGAGAAAGTAAGGACTCGTATTTTTACCAACACATCACATCACGTCACAAAGGTATGGCACGGCAAGTAGCCGGAGTAAGCAAGATCACGTAACAAATACGTAATTACCCAGTAAACTCAGGGTCCTTCCTTCTGGCTGGTGCCAAGATTTTGAGGGCCAGGACTGGAAGAGTTGCTGACTATTAGCTACCTACAACTGTCTTTCCTACTCACTAAACGTCCCTCCTACCAGTAACCTGCTCCCGGAATCTGGAGATGTCAAATATTCTGGACCGGAAGAGTTGCTTGCTAGGGAAGGTCCCGAGCGAGCTGTAGCCGTGTTGGCAAGCACCTCAGAGACACGCCCCATGTTTATCCATCCTTTAGCTCAGCGGTGAACTGTTGGTGCAGTAAGAAGAAATATTAGTAAGAACCTAATTTGCATGCGATGCCACAGAATGAGAAAAAAAACAACTACAAAGCACGGTACCCAATAGCAATACTCAAACTCACCTTTCCCTGGTCCTTCTGGAAAGATATCGCGCTAACCCCGGTCTCAAGGCGCCTTACCCATTCAGTCTCATCGAAGTAGCTAAATACTGAAAAAAGCACATTCAAAGTTTAGTCAGCACCCTTCATTCAAAAGCGACTTTTACCCGTGGTTGAAAGGCGAAAGCACTTACTATATCCACCAATCTTCCCATTGAAAGCCATCCACTTGTTTCTTCCCGTGAATAGCTTCGCTCGTTCCGCATCCGGCATGGAATCGGACATCTCGCTTTTGACGTGAACAAACTCAAAGGACTGCAGGTTGTCCTTGGGCGTCCATACAACTCCTCCGTTGGCCGTGTTGTCGCAAACACCCCAGTGGCAATTGAAGTCACCTGAACGAATGAGAAAAACAGAGCAGCAATGGGGTTCAGCCTTTGCCTAGATGAGGGGCGGACAGGATACAGAGTGTTACTCAAGCTACTACTCACCAACTCCCTTATAATGCTCATGGTTTCCTTCCGAGACATACACAATGGGATGTGTTCCCATCACCGTAGCAAAGCTTTTTGGCTTGGGGTCGTCCCAGTCAGCACCAGTGTCCCACGCCCACACAGGTCCGTTGCCGTGCTGCGCGTACCAAATGCGCTGCGGCTCGCCGGTCTTTGAGAAGCGGATTGCAATCGCCACCAGGTCCGTGATGTGGTTGTACTCCGGAGCACCCATATCAGAATTGGCATAGTTCTGAAAAGGTGAACGATAAAGACATTAGGGTTATGACTGAAATATAACAGATTGACAACCTCTCGCAAAGTATGGGGTTGAAAATGAGTGGGGGGGGTTGGGGGTGGGGGGGAGGTGAAGGGGGGGAAGAGTGAGCAAGGGGAAGAGACAAGTGAAACCAGCATGTGAAACCAGGGGGAGTACTCACATATGGGTATAAGAGCCAATACTGAATCTCCACAAACGAGTCTTTGTCATCGGGCTTTGGGTTATAGATAATGGTGTACAGCTTCGTGCCTCCATTTTCCGGGTTGCGCGCCGAGTCCTCCACCCAGTCGGTATCCTCGTCAACTTCACCCGGACTCAGCAGGACAGTTCGGTCACGCTCGGTCTTCAACGCCCCATCCCCCAGCAACGTATCAAGGTTGTCGGGAGTGATCGGGCCCTCTTGGTACCGAAGCTGCTTTTCTGTTGAAGAGTCCTCCCAATACATACCCATGGAATATGTCACATGGGTGAGGTATTCGTCGATCGTGGTTGGCCAGATGGTCTCGTCGGGGTGGAACTTGTACTGCGGAGAGTACTCCACGGCCAGGTTCTCCCAGAATGGATCGCACGCGGGGTTTGTTTGCGGGTCGGTCATGCACGGGTCGGCAGGCGGGGGGGGCGGGTCCACCGTGCCAGCAGGCATGGGCGGGATGGCGTTGCGAACCAGCATGGCGAATTGCTCCTGGAACCACTGGCCAGCTCGCGGCGCGTCTGATAGGGCGTCCAGGCCAAGCGGGTCCAGGGGGTCGCATTCGCGATCCACGGGAATCAGCTCCGAAATCCCCTTTCTGAATTGAATACATCGTGGAAACGGAGGAAGAGTTATGAGCCAAGGTGAAGGAAGAAACTACAGTACAGTTTGTGGATGCATCATACGAACCACCTGAACTAAAACGAAATTTGTAAATGCAGGCCGCGGAACTAGGACACTTACGCGTGACCATCGCTCTCCCCAGGCGGCTTGATCCAGACCACAGCGTCAACTGCCGGCAGGCAAGCAAGGTTGGGAGTCACAAGGGGGGAATGACAGTAAAATCAGAATATCGTACTAATATAGAATAAAACATATAAAGGCAATCTGCAACAGCACGAAGAAGAGAAGGAGGATTCGATTGAAAGATACCCAGTGCTCACCTTGCGGAGCATTAGCGGGATCCGCCTGGGGGCGTTCTCCGATCCCCGCGTTCCTCACGTTGCACCACGACCCCCAGCGCGTTCGAATGCCAGCGACGCCGGACCGGCTGGTGTCAACGATCCACCTGGTGGGCAGTCCCGCGGCCCCCAGGAACGCATTCATGCGCGCCGTGAAGCGGTTCTCGTCGATGCACGGGTTCCAGTCGTAGTTCATCTCGCCCGTGCTCGGGTTCTGTGCGAGCGGGCATTTCTCCAACGCCGGGCAGCCGTCGTCGGACGCGAAGAGCGGGCTGTAGTTGGCCACGTTGGACGCGAAGCCTCGGATCTTGGCGTTCTCGTGGATCTGCCGCGCGCGCGCGAGGACCTTCTTGTACACCGCCACCACGCGCTTCATTCCCTCCGACCACCCTGCTCACGCGTTGGGAGGCGAGCAGGGTAGAGTGAGGAGTGGGGTGAGGGGGGGAGTGCGAAGCGAAACGGCGGAAGCAGGGCTATGGCGTAAGGGGGAGGAAGAAACGGAACGAATTGACATGGAACGGAAAGAACCGCACGCGGCACACGCACTCACCGAGCCAGCCCCCGAAGCCGGAGTCGAGATAGAGCGTGGTGTCGGGTATCTGCGAGAGCGTCGCGATCGCGTACGCGACGCCCTCCGTATATTCCTGCTCCGTCGTCGCGTCGCACCGATTCGTGCCCATGTTGGTCGCGATGTTGGGCAGCGAGTCGGGCTCGATCACGAGCGACAGACGCACGTTCGCCGCCTTGTTTTTAAGGCGCGCCACGGCAACATCAATGTAGTCGGCCTTGTACGTCTCGAGGCCGCCCTTGGGAATCTCCCCATTGGACGACCACGCCTTGCAGTCGCGGCCCGGGAGGTCGTAGATCACGAATTGCACGAGAATCGGATTTTCCCCCGCCTGAGCCGCTGCGGCGTCCAGGTGGCCTTGAATGGAGTCGAGCTTCGCCATCGTATCGAGCCACACGGCCGTCGGATGGTCCGCCACGCTCGCAAAAAACGGCGCATCCTCGCGAGTCGCGGCACGCATCGCGGCTTCCACGCTCGCCTTGTACTCGGGGTTGAGGTACTGCTGGACTCCCGTGTACGGGTTGCCGGTCGCGCTGTCGGTAACGCGGTAACCGCACGACGTGCCATTGGCGGCGACCAATTCTGTCGCGTTGATTGCCGCTTTGAGCCAGCACGAGCCGCCATTTTCGGCCGTCCACGTCCAATGCGTGCAATCCGCGCGATCGAGGCACTGCTTTCCGCACGTGTCGCCCATGCCGGCGGCTTGGCCAATGTCGTTGCCCTTCCAGTCGCAGTCGAACGACCACATCACCTCTCCCTGCTCGGAGCTTGAGAAGCTGAATGCTGACGTGGCTCTCACTGAGAGATTGAGAGTCACCAGCACTACTACTAGTCCTACCAGTGCCAATGCGCTTCGGAAACACCCAGTCACCATCGTTTCGGTTGGTTCTTTGGAAGGAAGTTTTTAGTTTTGACATACTCAAGGGACCGTCGTTTTTTATAGCGGGGGACCAGAACTGCGACCCGGATCGCATCAGGGGGAAGCTTACAATGCCTCTCGTTTCCCATACTGCTTTCCGACCTACGGTCGGAGACGTGAGTTCTGAGAATTCTTGGTGACGCCATGGCTTGTGAGATAAGTTTCCGTGTAGGTGTTAGCTTCGCAGAGGTTTCTGTAATGCGTGGAAGCCGTGGCGTGCGCTGGTGAGGAAATCTGCTTGCAGATCTGAAAGGGAAGCGATACTGTGCTCCATAGATTGTCGTTCAGAGTGATTGTGAAGGTTTTGACGCGGTACCACACGGTACTGTAGTGACCAGTTTGAAACGAAACACACCAAGCAAAACCGTGGTCGGCGAACCACGAAGCCTGGTGACACTCCGTAACATAACTGTGATGCATGTAACATGAATAGCGATTAGGAATGCTGACCTGAAACCGCAACCGCGAGCTTCGTCGACCAGCCACAGCTCCTCGTCTGCATTTCGTCTTGCGTCTCGCCCTCAGAGGCGACGCTTGCGACACCTCGTCAGGATTCGCCAAATGGATGCGATGTTGCGTTGCAAGCAGACCTGATCAGACCTGGACTGTTCCACCAGCCTCCAATCAATGGCGGCCCTCTTCCCTTACGGTACTTCAACAACTCCTCTCCTTCCCTCCCTAGATCAATCACTCGTGCCTTGTTCTCGTGCTCTTAGTGTCTGCTCTTTGATCTAATATAAGTGCATCGTTTCCCCATGTCAGGCCCATGCGCTAACGATCTTGTTCGAGGAGTGCCTCATATCAACCACTTACTCGTCAACTCCCAACCAGCTGCTTATCGCCATCGTAACCCTCCTGGTACGATTGTGGAACAATCTTTTTGTCTCCTCGACCGACCTTAACGCTTAGGTTCGAACCCCGATTCATTGCGCGCCGAGCTCGCGGGATGGCTGCAGGGGTCGGATCGTGCAGGCAGAGTTGCAATTCCGGAGCGGGCTGTCCGGCGCGCCATGGCATTCGCATGACAAGGCGGGGAGTGCCACGGCGCGGGGAAAAATTGACCTACCAGCGCTACCAGCAAAACCAGCAGCGGTACTACGAACGGTGGCGGTAGCGGGAGTCACGGAAGCACAGGCAATGTGGAGGGTTGGCGCGAGCAGGCAGGCGCTTCACCACATTTTCGATTTCTGTAGACGAGCCGTGCATCTCTACGGCAGCTACAAGGTGACTATAACGAGCCATTGGCACATGAATGATTGAACGAGTCAGCAGAGCGCGCTCCCCTCACCGTCAGCTACGTCAGGCACGGTGGCGTATCCTCTCACCATCTCATTCCACTCAACAGCCTCTCCCCTCCTCTCCGCCTTTTTCTCCCCGCTCCCCCCATCCCCGCTGCCAGCGCCATAGGCTGCGCCAGCCGTACCTCCACTCGCCACGTCACTCTGTGCCTCTCCGCCTGTCTTCTCCCCTGCTGCCCCGCCGCCCATCCCCATGCGCGCGCCATCAGCTGTGCCAGGTGCGCGTGCGGGTGGGCAGGCAGAGCGAGGAGTCAAGGTGCACGATGTGCCGCAATTCAAGGTGAGCCGCAATCCGCCCTAGCTGGCTGTGCAGAATGTGCATCATCGCCACGATCACCAACGCCACGCCACCACAACACTGTCCCAACCGCCCTGCTGCATTGCCATCTCATATGCTGCCATGCCGTTCCCCATCCACCATGCCTTTTCATTTCCTCCCCATACCCCGTGCCATGCTGGGCCCTCTCGCCTATCCGCTACCTTCTCTCCTACACTTCCAAATCCCTCCCCTGCCGCCACTTCACTCCATGCAGTGCGCACCTTAAGGTGGAGGGATGGCGCTTTTTGAGGCGCCTCAGAAGGCGCAAATAAGGTGGAGGGATGGAGCGAGCAGCAGCAGGCACTGCGTCGCAATTTCGACTATTGAAGACGATCCATGCATGTGTGCGGCAGTTACAAGGTGACTATAACGAGCCCTGCAAGTCATGCATCCACTGCAGTTTTCAGTGGGTTAATAATGTTGGTCGAGCACAGCGAGCGGCAAAAAAAAAAGGGGAGGGGAGGGGGGGGACAACATGTCCTAAAGAGTGCACTTATTGTCCACTGTTGCCGAAAGAATAGTATATTCGCACATGTTGCCGAAGGACAATATGTCCTTCCACAGTGCGCTCTCTGTCGTCTCTCGCACGTAGTTTGTCTATGTTAGCACACACGCGCGCTTTCCGCCTGCTTCCCTCTAACCTCCCCCCCCCTCCCCCTTCCACTCCCATGTGCGCGCCATCAGCTGTGCCAGGTGCGCGTGCGCCTAAGCAGGCTGAGTGAGGAGCAGCGGCGGGCGGCGTGGGAGGAGCAGCACGAGCGGGGTGCGGAGGAACTGCACTCTCTCTGCACGGAAATGCAGGGCTTCTTCCTTAAGGTACCACCGTTGCATCCATGCTCACGCACGTGATTCTAAGTCACCTGTGCACGCACGCGCAGGGCTTCTTTCTCAAGGTACACCTGCTGTAGGGTTGTTACCTCTCAAGGTACCGCCGCAGCAGCCATGCTCACGCACGTGAATCTAGTTTTCTTGTTCGCCTGTGCGCCGCCGGTAGACAAGTGGCTGAAGTAGCTCACGGCGTGCGAATTCAGCCACTTGCGCAGCCTCAGGCCGATGACTCTCTTCACTTGTGCACCGAGACGGGCACCCTCCTTTTCTCCCCAACCCCCCGCACCTTCTGGTCTCTTCCCCTCTCCCCCCCCTCCCCCCCCCGCCAGCTGTTGGAGACAGTCCCCCAAAGTGACCCCTCTCCATCCCTGCCTCATGGGGCAGGGGGGCGGCTCCATCCCTCTCCTCTCACATGGAGTGACAACAACCCCAGTTTGAAGCAGTACGTGCTTTCGTCCTCCTCCCCCCTCGTCTGTCCCAAGCCGCACAATTGGGTGATACAAGGCGATGGCGAGGTGGGCAGCTGCCTGAGGGGCCTTGCAGTGTGTGAGCTGCTTGTGAAGGGGGTCAGGACATGGATGTAGCAGCACAGCAGCAGGTGCAGGCAGTGCTACCTGCCACGCCACCCCTGTGGCACATGGAACCCCTGGTAGACAGCTGCTGACATGGTACCATTTTTTCTCTAATGAATTGCCGAGTCAGAGTTGAAAAAGCGTTCAAGGCTGCTTGCCAGGTGGCCTTGGCACATTGTGAATACTGCAGTCAGTGTCCCCAGCAGAAGTGCTCTCTGTGCCTGCCAGAAAAGGCGCAGCCAAGCGCATGAGGAGTGCCTGACCTGGGAGGAGATGTAGTGGTGGTACCGGCTATTGTTGCACAAAGTTGGTGTTGGCATCGCATAGTGCTTGTGAATTTTGTTAGAGTTAAGGATTCCTTCAAACACAATGGCACCTGAAAGCAATGTGCCAATGAAGTATAAAGTAATGACAACAAGAAACATACAATGGTGTGTCTACCCATCCTCAACGCTGATGTCAAGTTCACAACTGAATTTCATGTAAAATTTCTACCATCACTTCAAAACCCACAACTCGATATACCCAAACGTCCTAGCACCCTTGCCCATGTTGGAAACAAATCGTAAGCGCCTCTGTCGTGTCGAAACACCTCACCAGAAGCGAAGTGAATCATAACGAGGCACCCGCGAGTCAACCCTCGGAGGTTGAGAGGTTGCTGGAGGTTACGCCAAAGTCAAAGGTCAGCGACCTTTGACCTGACAAGTGCAGCGCGACAGCAAGGACACACAACTGACTCGTTACAGAGCAGTTGCCCGAGTCGTCACTGTATCGAACCACAACAGCAACAGTAAAGTAGTTACAACTGTATCTCTTCGTATTCCTTGTATTCTTATATAATCCTGTATCTCTTTGTTTTAATCAAAACACCATAACCCAAGCGCACCAACGTACACGCCACTCGAGAAGGTGTACAGCGACATCCTGTACAATCGCGAGCCGGGGCAGAACGCGTACAACTACACAATCACGTTCATCGACGCCGCGACACGTTACGTTTGGCACCTGAATCTTCCAAGCAAGGATATGGCGTTCGAAGCGTTCGTCGCCTGGCTCCCCGTAGCAGAAAGGGAATCGGGCGTCAAACTAAAGAGCTTCCAGTCAGACGGGGGAGGAGAATACACCTCACAAAGGTTCAAGCAGTATCTGGCAGAGAGAGGAATCAAGCGGCTCATTTCTCTTCCCTACGCCCATCAACAGCAGGGTGTAGCAGAGAGGATGAACAGGACCCTCCAGAACACCATGCGGAAACTGTTACGTGGCATGCGGCTACCCACCCACCAGTGGCCCGAAGCAATGGACCACGCCGTGATGCTGCACAACTTGCTTTCTTCGTCGTCACTTCCGAACAACACATCACCGCATCTGCTGTGGACAGGAAAACTGGGCAGCACAAAAATGTTACGAGTCTTCGGCTGCATGGTACAGTACCGACCTCCATCTGCACGAGCAGGACGATTTTCACAACGAGCACAGTGGGGACTACACCTGGGCATCGAAAAACACTACAACGCATGGAAGATTTTCGACGTCGAGACAAAAGAAACAGTGGCAGCACGTGATGTCATTTTCTATGAGCGACTCACACTGCAGACGTACCTTGCCAACCTGGATGAAAACCGAGACCCCACAGGTGGCTTCCGTGGAGACCGAGCCTTCGCTTCGGCAGAAGACGAAGCTGACTGGGACGAGCAGAACGTGGAAGGAGCCTCGGAAGAAGCCGGACCCCTCCCCTACTGCTCCGTCAACGTGCCAATGGACGACGAAAACCCACGCGAGAGCATCAACGCCGAAACCTACTACCATTTCGCTGACAACGGTTACGTTACACCTGCACAAGTAAACACCGACGAAGCAGAACGCATAGGACCCAACTTCGCACCTGATCCAGAAGCGGGAGACGAAGCTGCTTATCCCGCGGACATGTCACTCCCCCGCTACACACAGAGCGGACTCCAGATACTCGGGCTCGTCACCGCAGTCCACGGCACGGGCGTTCCTAAGGAGCCTGCGACGGTTCAGCAGGCTCTGGGGGGGGAGCATAGGGAAAAATGGCGCGAAGCCATGGACAAAGAACTGAAGGCATTAGAGGAGCGCAACACGTGGAAAATTGTCCCCATCGGCGTAGCACGGAACAAGACCATTCTCACCGGGAAATGGGTCTTCCGCGTGAAGACGAAGGCCGACGGCACCATTGACAAATTCAAGGCACGATGGGTCGTGCGTGGCTTCGACCAAGAACACGGGCGAGACTTCACCGAAACCTTCGCTCCGGTTAGCCGACACACTTCGCTCCGAATTCTCCTCGCAATCGCCGCCATGAAGAAGAAGAAGCTGCGGCAAATCGACGTCGCGAACGCGTTTCTCTACGCACCTGTTGATGCAGAAATTTTCGTCGAGCTACCGCACGGCTCCCACGGAGAACCTAACCAAGTCTGCCAGCTGCTCAAGTCACTCTACGGCATCAAGCAGGCTCCGCGACTGTGGCAACAGTACCTACACGCCCGCCTCATTCGCATCGGCTTCAAGCAGATACCGCACGATCAGGGCATGTATCGGCTCACGAAGGGTACTGACTACATCCTGCTAATCGTCTACGTAGACGATTTACTCTACATCGGCTCGACCGACGACGTCACCTCTTGGTTCGAAGGGGAGCTGCAGCAGGACCTCACGCTCACAGTCTCATCTACCGTCACGCAGTACCTCGGCCTCAACATCCGGGAAAAGGAAGACGCGATCTACCTCAGCGCCGCGAAATACGCCGACACCATCGCCAAGCGCTTCGCACTCACACCGACCGCCATCTCTACACCGTACCGCTACACGGCAGGAAACAGCAAGGGAAGCTCCACTCTACTCAAGCCCGCCGGCATTCGAGACTACCAGAGGAAGCTGGGATGCCTCCTCTTCGCAGCTGTCACCTGTCGCCCTAACCTCTCATACTCCGCAAGTCAACTCGCCACCTACCTCAAGAAACCTGAAGCGGAGCATCTGGCGGAACTCGACCGCGCTCTTCACTACCTCGTCAGCACCCCAACGATCGGCCTAACCTACCACAAGAACGCAACCACACCGACTAAGTTAATCGGCTACGTCGACGCCGATCACGCTGGCGACTCCGACAACAGGCGTTCGCGCACCGGCTACATCTACCGTCTCGAGCCTATCGGTCCTATCTCCTGGCAGTCGAGCAAGCAGGAGTTAATTGCCCTCTCATCAGCTGAAGCATAATATATCGCACTCTGCTCAGCCACCAAAGAAGGACTCTACCTTCGCGAACTACTGGAGGAGGCGAAATTAGCCCAGTTACCCAGCTTCACCCTTTTCTGCGACAACCAGTCGGTAATTCGCATCGCCAACAAGAACGGCTTCGCGAACAGGACGAAACACATCGCCCTGCGATATCTCTTCGTAAAGGACGAGATCGAGAAGGGGAGACTCCAGCTATCATATTGCCCCACATCCGAGATGGCAGCTAGCTGACTATTTGACCAAGAAGCTCGGAAAGCAGAAATTCGAGTACTGTATGCTGCTGACTGGACAAAGCCACGTCACCAGCAGCGACACTCCAGAAGCGAAGGGGAGTGTTGGAAACAAATCGTAAGCGCCTCGTGTCGAAACACCTCACCAGAAGCGAAGTGAATCATAACGAGGCACCCGCGAGTCAACCCTCAGAGGTTGAGAGGTTGCTGGAGGTTACGCCAAAGTCAAAGGTCAGCGACCTTTGACCTGACAAGTGCAGCGCGACAGCAAGGACACACAACTGACTCGTTACAGAGCAGTTGCCCGAGTCGTCACTGTATCGAACCACAACAGCAACAGTAAAGTAGTTACAACTGTATCTCTTCGTATTCCTTGTATTCTTATATAATCCTGTATCTCTTTGTTTTAATCAATCGACTTTGCCCTCACATACCAGCGCAAGGTGGTTCAACCTCTTCATTAAAGCTTCCGCTATTATACTGTTCCTACCCAGAGTTTACCCTTGCAAAAGCTCCTAAGGGCTAACTTCTCAGCCCAACAGCCCACCCCATCCACTCATTCCTTCCGCCCAAATGATCCCTTCCCCAGCACTCGACCATCAACACATCCGCTCTCCAGGTTTGGAATATAATTGATTACCTCCCTTTCTTCATCCTCATAGCAGGGGCATGCAGTGATGACGAGAGTCCTGAGGCTGGTGAGACAGCTCACCGACTCGAACAAGCCGATCAGGTTAGGGCAGTTACTCAAAGTCAGCCGCTGCAGCTGTTCAAGTTTCCCAAGCTCGTATGGAGTCTCAATCAGGTCTGGAAAGCCCATCACGACGAGCGATGTCAGATTTGAGAGATGGCAAAACGACGACGTGAGGGCCTCCTGATCCTCGCGGCTGCCCATACAACTGGCAGGCCAACCAAACGCAAGAGACGTGAGGCTGCTCCAATGCTGGGTGAGGGATAAAGGGACATCGACAACACCATCGCAGTAGGTGAAGGAGAAGGTGCGCAGACTGGAGAGCTTGGAGATGGTATCTGGAAGGTGAGAGAGACATTTCAGCTGGCTCAGTTCGAGATGCTCCAGCGACGACAGGCGATCCATCCTCTGTGGAAGGGCCCTAAGATCTGTGCAATTCCTTAGGACCAACATGCGGAGGTTAGAAAGGTTGCAGAGGGAATCAGATATCGTGTGGAAGCTATCGCAGTTTCTGATGGTTAGCGTCTTGAGAGAATTGAGGCCTGACACCGTTGTTGGAAGGGATGCAAAGCTACGACAATACACGATCTCAAGAACTTGTAAAGAAGGAAGATGGAAAAAGGATTCCCGGAGTTCTAGGTCCATATTCTCATGTAAGTAAACCTCTCGGAGGTTCGGAAGCTGGCCGATGGTGTCAGGAAGAGTCTTCATACCCTCCATTTCACGAACGGTGAGCTTGACCAATGACTTCAGCCCACAAAGGGAATCAGGTAGACGGTCGATCGATCCTTCATTTCTGAACACCTTCAGCTCGGCCAGCTTGGTGAGCTGGCCGAGTGATTCCGGGAGCTCGTCGCTCCACAGATTGGCGAGTGTCAGCTTTGTCAGGGACTTCAGCTCGTCGAATCTGTCGGGAAATTGAACGAAATTTACCATCAGATAGACCTCCTTCAAAGATGAAAGGTCGAAGAAGGATGGTGGCATATCACAACTGCCTTCGTAGACCGTCATCATGGTAAGCGAGAGGTACTGCAAAGCAGTGCAGCCTCTGAAAAGGCTACCTGCACCTTCGTACGTCATACCTTCTCGCCAACCGTTGTCCAGGTCAAGATGAATTAACCTGGGACAGACCGAACCTAAGCCCCAGAGAAAGTCGTCATCGTCCGGGTCGAGAACGCACTTATTGATCGTGAGAGATGTTAAGTGTCTGAAGCGGGAAAGAGAGTCCAGGAGGCCAGAATCTGCAGTAAGGCGAGGCGGACTGTTGGCGATCGACGTTTGGGCAAGGTAAGCGAGGCGATTCCAACGTTTACAGACCAAAGCGTGATTGAAGTAGCTGGGTGACTGCTTGTTCAAACAACGGAAGATGAGGCAAATGAGGTCGCGCGGTAACTGATTTAACGACACTCGCATCTTAATTCTACGAGGACTCGACACCAAGGTTCGGGACGATGGATCCGTTCCAGCTTGAGACATTGTTCGCAAGCTGCAGTGAGCTACGGTAAAACTACGGAAATAGAGCAACTAGAGTCGATCGCACGTTGCTGCTAGCCATGATAAACTTACGGATTGGGAAACTCGAGTCATGTGTAATGGAGTAGAAACGTTGGTGAAGGCAGGATATGGAGGAAGGGAGCTTGCTTGCTTCATTGTGACCGTTGGAGTGGATGACCGTTTGGCTCTCACTGGTAACTGGTCCCTGGTACTGTAGCTCGGAAGAAGCTATTCGTGACTGTTTGTGCTCTTGTGACTGTTCGTGCTCGCGGTGCTCGTGTCAGTGGGATTCGCTGCTGTGGTTTCGCTAGCTTTTGTTACCCGAATTTAGCAGCTTCTCGTCTCGGGTTTTGCGAGTCGACGACGTTACCAAAGCTCGTGGCAAAAGTAAAGTCGGTGGAACAGCTGTTCGTCATGTCTAAATTTCGCTCCTCGCCAATGAACTGAAATGGATGTACTTCAGCCACACTTCTCGTCACATTCAGAGTAGCAGCTCCTCCTACGATCACCACTGCCTAATTTCTGAGTACCTCATGGCGCCAGACGCGCCTGCTCCGATTGATGTTATTATTAACGCGTCTCCGGGCATAGGTGGGTCAGTGCTGTGTCGTGAATCGCTATCACACCGATGCGGTCACCGATAAGGCACAGCAGGGCTGTTTCGCTTCGGCGCAGCTGGACGCTATGATCGTGCAAGAATAAATAAATAAATTTTATATAAATATAAAAAATCCAAGCCACGCTTGTCCTTCTCCGAATATAGTTTATCCTGCTTGGCTAGCTTATGAAGTCGCAAATATATTCTTTCTTCACATCTGGAGCACCAACTTCACCACCTCAGGATCTTCCGTAGTCTCAGCGAGCCTTCTCCTTTCCGTCAATCACTCTGCTGTCTCTCGCGCCTACATTTGGCTATCTGCTCGACGTACACTTCCCTCACACATCTCTTTTTCCCCTCCTCCTTCTCCACCGCTCCCCTCTGCCATCCAGACGACGCTTTGGCCATTCTCGCCGCTTTGAAGTGCCAATCTATTCGTGTGCTTGGTATCGCCACGTCATTCAGCCACTATGTGACGTGTGAAGCTGCCACACGCAACGCTCGAGGCCTGGTGGGTTCACTGTGCCTCATCCTTTATAAGGATCCCTCATCCTTTATAAGGATCCCTCATCCTTTATAAGGATCTCTCATCCTTTATAAGGATCCCTCATCCTTTGCGAAGATCTTCTCATTGTTTTTGGAACATTGGTGGTTGAGTCAGTATTATGTATATACTACAATTCTGTTCCTTCACGCATGTTGTGTTTACCTTAACCACCGATGTCATGTCCTCTAGGTTCGGCAAAAAAGCTTCTCAATGTTATTTTTTCTTCCACACAAATTCCTTTCCCCCATTTTCCTACAGCGATGCCCCTTATTTCCCTCTTGCCTTCCCTCTTTTCCTTCCTATTCTTCCTCTCCTCTTCCTGCTCCCCCACCTCCCCTCCCAATTTTTCCCACCCATCATTCCCCTCCTCTTCCCGCGCTTTTCCCGCAACCCCCATCCTGCTTCTCCCCATCTCCCTCACCCACTCTCCTCCAGTGCATAGCAGCAGGTCGCCCAGACACACCTGTGGTTCAGGGCGCCACAGCACCACTCTCAACCACACCAACTCCAGCACTATGCCCAGTATGTTGCCGCTTCATCCTTGCTCCTTCTTTTTCCCCTCCCCCCACTATCGAATTTCTCTGTTCTTGCACACAAACTTGTTCCTTTCCTTTCCTCCCCCCCACTCCATCTACCAAACCCGCCTTTCCTCCCGTCGCCGATGCTTTCGTTTGCTTCCTTCCAAGACACTCCTAGTGTGTTTTCTCGCTAGTGTCCTCCCACCCGCCCTATTGAATTTCCTGTTCTGCATTCCAAGCTTTCACTATCAGCCACCGCCGCCGCCACCACCACCACCCCCACCACCGCACCGCCGCTGCTGCTGCCGTCACCACCACCACAACCATCACCACCTGGCTGCCCACCGTGTCTCCCCTTTTCTTCCTCTCGCTTTCTCATCAACAGCCAAACGCCCCCGAGGCTAGTGGAACCAGCACCAGTGGCAGCAGCAGCAGGCCTAGCGCACCCTCCCTGCCTGCCTGCTCCTCGTTTCTGGGCCCTGACGGTTTGGCGGGAGTGCAACTGCCAGCAGCAACTCCCGCACTCCAACGGGATGACCCCGCGAATGGCATCACTGATACCTTAGCTTCCACTCATGCTTCCACTGCTGCTACTGGTGCGGATGGAGAGGGGAGGGTCGGGGGAGAGCAGGGGGCGGAGCGGAGGGCGTGGGAGTGGATGTGTGAGGAGGTGGCGAGGAGGCCCGGGCAGATCAGCATCATTCAGTTGGGGCCCATGACCAACCTCGCCCGGGTGAGTGTGCTTTGCATGCGTGCGTGCCGTTGCACCGAGGTCACGGTTGTGTTGAGTCGACTTGAAGGGAGGCTGGTAAGAGAAGAGAAGAGACCAGGAAGAGCAGATTATTTAGGTACGGCTGGAACACCTAACCAACCTTGCCCACGCAGGTGCTTGCAGCAGTCCGTGACTCCTCCTGCCCACACATCCCATATCCTCCCTCCCCACGTCTCCCTCACCTCCCTCACCTCCCTCACCTCCCTCACCTCCCTCACCTCCCTCACCTCCCTTTCCTCCCTCACCTCCCTCACCTCCCTTTCCTCCCTCGTCTCTCTCATTGCCCTCACCTCCGTCTCCTCCCTCCCCTCGCTACTCTGCTCGTCTCCCTTCCCGAATCCCACGCATCCCTGACACAGTGCAGGCCCTATCCGAGCGTCTGCTCTAGCATCAGAGCTGGTGTGGGTGTTTCTTCGCCCACTTGCTCCACCCAGTGCCCACCCTCACCTCCCCCTCCCCGCTTTCCTCCACCATCCGCCCTTCCTCCTCCCTCGCTTCTTCCCGCCTTGCTCCCACCAGGCCCTCTCCCATCGCCCCTCGCTAGCATCAGAGCTGGCGGGCATCTGGGTGGTGGGGGGTTCATTCTTCGCCCACTTGCACCACCCACTGCTGGCCCCCACCTCCCCCCTTCCCCTCACCAGGCCCTCTCCCATCGCCCCTCACTAGCATCCGAGATGGCGGGCATCTGGGTGGTGGGGGGTTCATTCTTTGCCAGTGGTGATGTTAACGCGGCTGCTGAAGAAAACGTGAGTGCTGGGGGCGAAGGGTATTGGGGGGAGTGGGGGGTGGCAGGAGGGAGGTGCAGCGAAGGGGGAAAGAAAGGGAAGGGCGATGGGATAGCTCGATATTGTTGGGAGGGAGAGAGAGTGTGTGTAAGGTTGGGGGAGGAAGAGCGGACCGGTTGACCATTGAGGAAAAGCGTGAGGGGATGACAATCTTGACTTACGCTGGCTCTTGCTTTTGCTCTTGCTCGTGCCCTTGCACTTCCTCTTCCCCTTCCTCTATCTCCAGACTCCAACTATGCATGTATCTTCATATCTTCTCTTGAGACGTCTCAAAAGTCCCTCGCACTTCCTCTTCCCCTTCCTCTATCTCCAAACTCCAACTATGCATAGTTTACGCCTCCAACAGTGCTCATATCTTCTCCCCCCAGAGCATTGCACGTGCGTGCAGATCCCGAGGTTGTTTTAACCGTGTTTGGGGATTAGGCCTCTCCCCTCGCCTCTCCCCGCTGCTACCCTTGCCGCTCCCCTCTTTGCAGATCTCGAGGCAGGGGACCAGATGCTGACATGACAGGGGGGCACCAACATCCGCTAGTGCTGACACTCCTCTCCTCCGCCCCTCTCTGCCCCTCTCTGTCCCCCTTTGCTTTGCTCCCCTCTGCCCCCATCCGCCCCTCTACCCCCCCCTCTCCACGGCAGGTGTTTGCAGACCCCTTGGCAGCGGATCAGGTGCTGACAAGTGGCGCCAACATCCCTTTCACTCCACCCCTCTCCACCCCTCTCCGCCCCTCTCCGCCCCTCTCTGCCCCCCCTGCATGGCAGGTGTTTGCAGACCCTGAGGCAGCAGATCAGGTGCTGACAAGTGGCGCCAACATCCACGTGCTGGGACTCAACGTCACCACACAGGTCACACTCACAGGTCAGCTGTGCATGCTCTTAGACTAGTTACTTATCGGACCGGTGAGGGCCTAGGGCGGTGTGTTAAGGGCAGCAGCCCAGGTGCTGACGAGTGGCGCCAGCATCTATGTGCTGGGAGGGACTCAACGTCACCACACAGGTCACACTCACAGGTGCGTTGGTTGGTGTGCTGGAGCTGTGCATGTTCCTAGACGAGCTACTTATCACACCAGTGAGGGCCGAGGGCGGTGTGTTAAGGGCCAGCATCCCAGGTGCTGACGAGTGGTGCCAGCATCCCAGGTGCTGACGAGTGGAGCCAGCATCACTCACAGGTGTGTTGCGAGTCGTTCCTTCCTTAACAACGTGCATGCTACCACGCGCGTTGCACCCACTCACTGGTGTCATTTCTGATACGCATGCTACTAGAAGAGTCTCTTTATAGCACCAGTAGGGGGCCAGACAGACCAGGCCAGTGTGGTACGGTCATCAGATCGGGTGCTGCTGACGTGTTGACTTTGATTCGACTCAAAAGTCACGCCAGTAGGGGACCAGGCCAGGCCAGTGTGGTACGGCCAACAGATCAGGGTGCTGCTGACTGGCGTGTGGCGCCAAGCCAACATCAACGTGCTGAGGCTGAGGCTCAGGCTGAGGCTGAGGCTCATCTCATCGTTACGTTTGAGGCGCCTCAAAGCTGGGGCTCATCGTTTCCACTCGTACCGCACTTGAAGTTGCCTAGAAAGGCGCCTCAATAACGTGCCTCACGTACGGGCAACCATCAGCATTCGTAATGCCCCTTCCCTATCTCCATGCCTCCCTCACACCCCTTCTGCCTGCCCCTTATGACCTCCTCTTCTGCTCCTTCATTCGAAACACACCTCCCTTCCTTCTCACCCCTTCTGCTTGCCCCTTTTGCTCTCTTCTTCTGCTCCTTCATCCGAACCGCCCCTCCCTCCCCTCTCGCCCCTTCTGCGCGCCAGGCACACACCTTGCCTCCCTGTGCACCCGAGACACGGCAGCCCCTCCAGCAGCAGGGGAGAGCGAGCACGGCACTGCGTCCTCAGTAGCAGTGGCGTCTGTGGAGGCAGATAAGAGCGGGAGCCAGCATGCAGCCTCGCCCTCACCAGCAGCGTCCCTGGTGGCACGTCTGGTGCAGGCATACAGGGCCCACCACCAGCAGTCCGACCACATGGATGGTGCGTGGGGTGTGGTGGATTGTGGTGGATTGTGGTGGATTGTGGTGGATTGAGTGCGCTTCACACTTCTTTAGCGTCACTTCGCCGCACCCCCTCGTTCTTACATCTCGCCGTTGCTTTGCCTTTTGTGTTCTCATTCACCTCCCTGTGTTCCGCCTTCCAGGAATTTTTCTGCATGACGCCTGTGCAGTGGCAGCGATCACAGCGCCCTCACTTTTCTCCTTCAAGCGAGGCAGCGTGCGTGTGGAGAGCACCGGGGTGGGCCGGGGATGCACTCTCATGGACTACTCGCTGAAAAAGTAAGCGAAATATGCTCTTGGTATCGGCACAATCATAGCCCCCGCTCTCCTCCTTCAAGCGTGGCAGCGTGCTAGTGGGGAGCAGAGCACTGGTGTGAGCTGGGGATGCACGCTCATGGACTACTTTGTAACAAGTGAGTGACTTTATCTTTGAGGTGTATGTTCAGTAGTGTGTGTATGTTCTGCTCAAGATGTAAGCAGCTCTATCTTTGAGGTTCAAGTTTGGCAGTGTGTGGGTCGAGAGCATTGGAGCAGGCAGGGGATGCACTCTCATGGACTACTCGCTCAAGAAGTGAGCGACTTAATCTTTCAGGTGCACGTTCCGCAGTGTGCGAGTCGAGAGCATTGGAGGCAGGGGGTGCACTCTTATGGACTACCCGTTCAAGAAAGTGAGTGGTTCGATCATTGAGGTGTACGTTCAGTTATGTGTGTGTGTGTGGAGAGAGCACTGGGCTCAGCAACGTATGCATGCGTTGCATGCGTTCTTCTGGAACGACACACTCATGCTGGTGGGATGTAGCAGCAGCGGTCATAGACACTGCTCAAGTGTCAAGGGATGCAGCACAGGGTGCATGCTGATGGGCCACTCACTCTCAACGAGTGCATGCTGGTGGACGTGTCGTTCCAGCAGAAAGCAGGGAGGGATGTAGCGTAGCAGCAGAGGTATTAGGGTCTGCTCAAGTGTCAAGGGATATGACAGAGGGTGCCACGCTGGCAGAGGTCAAGAAGCAAGTGAGCGTGGCTGTTACCGTCAATTTTGACAGGGTTGTTGCTGCAGTTAAAGACAGATGGCTTGCAGTGCATGATCATGGGCTAATGAGGGAGCTATGGCAGGATGGGTGGATTGATGAAGCAGTAATAGACAGGTCGATCGGGAGCGCACTGCACGCTTCCGGTTCTTCTCGGTGACGAATAGTGTTCGGGGCTCGTCTGAATGGGGTGTGGAAGTGGGTTTTTTGTTGTTCTGCCTCCCCCTTCCATCCGCGCACGTCGCACCCTCATTTTCAACATTTTCTGTTATCCCACCTGCCCCTACGTCCTCTCTCCGGCCTCCCATCAGTTGAAACGGCCCCAACCCATGGGTGGGGGGGGTGCCGCCAGTGCAAGTGCATTCTTAAGGCACCTACTTCAATGCACGTCCCTCCTTCCCTCCCGCCTCCCCGCCAGTTGGAACGGCCCCAACCCATGGGTGGGGGTGCCGCCAGTGCAAGTGGCCATGGCTGTTGATGCTGCTGAGGTGGCAGCCACTATCACCCGACTGCTTTTGTCTGTCGGATGAAGCAAGTGGGCATGACTGCTGTTTATGCGCACGAATAAGCGAGCGTTTCAAAGCTGCGATGATAGCCAGAGTGTTGTCTGGAGGAAGAGGAGAGGAGGGAGGGAGGGGAAACAGAGAATTGAGGGAAATTGGAGAGACTGAGGAGCGAGGTTTACAAAAAATAATTCCAGAGCCTATTTGGAACTCAGTACATGTTGAGAAAAGGCCTATTGGATGGCCCTGCGATGAAGAGAAGCAGATAGAAGGAGAATGTTTGCTGAGATCACATAATTTTCTGCAGATCACTCTGTATTTTGTAGCTGATGAGACGCTTCGAGTAGAGGAGTATATTAGCCGCTAAGATGGGACAACTAACACAAGGGATTAGGTACCATAAATAGTACTAATACAACTAATCTTGATTTACTATTGATGTACCATAAATCATGGCAAGAAACCAGAATTGACTTGAAATAATAATTTAATCCGTTAGGTTTACCTAGGTCATGTTTACGCGTGGTGATCTGAAGCTGTAGATGGACAAATCATGTTTCCGCGAAAAGTACTCGTAACGCGCTGAACGAAACGGTTACACGAGTCGAATGCTCTACAAGAAACGCCACGAAAGCACGACCGCGAATCGAAGGCCGCGAAACCGAGGGCCCAGAAACCCGCCCCACTGGGAACCAACGCGTGAAAACAAAAGCGCAAAAACCGAATCACGATCCCCGCACCCCAGTGCGTGCTCCATATCCATTCCATGGCGTCTCAAAGGCGCTTGTCCACGTGGGTCCGATACGGACCCACTAGACCAGCTCGCGAACCGCAGGGTGATCCAGTGGTGGACAGAACCAGTATGCGAGGAATAACCTCGTTATAGCGTTGAAACGGGGCCGCGGGTGGTCCGAACGACTCTGATTTTTATTCGCGTGTTTCACACGTCACGGAATGGTGAGTGAACACCAGGCAATAGAAAGAGGGTTCGTCGATACTGTGTAAATCTCAGAGGTTGTACAGTCCGAGACGCGACAAAATCTTGCAGACCAGCTCGTGTCCGGTCCACGCCACGGCTGCCAGCCCAAAATTCCACACGCAATCACTTTGAAAACGCGGGAGACCCCGGGGTCACCCTCACGGGGTGACCCACAAGCTCCCCCTGTGTTACCTACAGCTCACCTAAAGACTGGCGACGTCAGCTCCAGTGGACCGCCTCGTGGGTCCGACGGACCAGCATGCCGGACCAAAGCATATAAACTGAGGTCGCGGACCAGGTCACATGAGACACGTCCTCAGCACGGATGTTACCAACCTGACACACATGAGGCAATGTTGTGTTCAAATGACATGACAAGCTCGCTCCTACAGTACTCATACATATCCTGCCTTCAGCGGAGGTATGTTGTACAACTCTCAGCATCTCAAAAATGCTGAACCATCTGTTAAAGCCCAAGACCTGAATTACAAAAAAAAAATGGCAAACTGTGCACAGTTTGCCTACCGAACCCACAGTTGACCTCCCGAGCCAGGCTGGTAACCAGAAAACGTCGCGCCACAAAATGACCGAGTCGTAGGGCAGAACAGGTCTGCTTGGCGAGAGTCCCAACCACCATTTCCTGAAGGAGGGTGGGCTCTGCCTGTGCACAGTTTGCAAAAAACTGTAATTCAGGAATGCTTGTGCGGCTAGTACGCGAAACTCGTAGATCATAGGCCAGAGGCAATTTCCTACCTACCACACTTAGTTTACCCTCATCCCAAGCGTGAAAGGCGCGAAGCGCATAATATTCCACACCGCGGTGAAATGGTGAACCTCAATTCCCCTCACATCGTCCTCCCCGTTGACGCACCGTCGCCCCCGCTTCCTCTGTTTCCCCGTCGCCATTGCCCTCCCGTCGCCCTTACCCCTCTCCCCTCCCGTCGCTTCCTCGTCAACGTCGTCGAGCCTCATTCCGACGCTTTTTTCACCACTCCGACCACCCTCTTTTTCCGTTGTCGTGTCCCCACCACTCCCCACTCTCCTGACAGGCGCGCCCACGTTTCCTTACTTGGGCATCGCCTTTCCGCAAACATCGCATTTGGCCCTATCGCTCACGCTTTCCCGCAACGTCGGTCACGCTTTCCCGCACCCTCGCTCACGCTTTCCCGCACCGTCGCTCACGCTTTCCCCTTGTCGCCACTCACGCATCCTCCTGCCTTACCCCACTCCCGGGGACACCGTCGCTCGCGCCTTCCCCCACCTTCTCTCACGCTTCCCCGCTCATCGCCCAGGCTTCATCCCACCCTCGCCCACGCTTCACCCCACCCTCGCCCAGGGTTCCCCCCACCGTCTCCCATGCTTCCCCCCACCGTCTCCCATGCTTCCCCCCACCGTCTCCCATGCTTCCCCCCACCGTCTCCCATGCTTCCCCCCACCGTCTCCCATGCTTCCCCCCACCGTCTCCCATGCTTCCCCCCACCGTCTCCCATGCTTCCCCCCACCGTCTCCCATGCTTCCCCCCACCGTCTCCCATGCTTCCCCCCACCGTCTCCCATGCTTCCCCCCACCGTCTCCCATGCTTCCCCCCACCCTCGCCCACGCTTCACCCCACCCTCGCCCAGGGTTCCCCCCACCGTCTCCCATGCTTCCCCCCACCGTCTCCCATGCTTCCCCCCACCGTCTCCCATGCTTCCCCCCACCGTCTCCCATGCTTCCCCCCACCCTCGCCCACGCTTCACCCCACCCTCGCCCAGGGTTCCCCCCACCGTCTCCCATGCTTCCCCCCACCGTCTCCCATGCTTCCCCCCACCGTCTCCCATGCTTCCCCCCACCGTCTCCCACGCTTCCCCCCACCGTCGCCCACGTTTCCCCCCACCCTCGCCCACGCTTCCCCCCACCATCGCCCACGTTTCCCCCCACCCTCTCATCCGCCCTTCATCTCATCCTCCCGTCCTCACATCCTCGTTTCCTCTCATCCTCCCGTCCTCTCATCCTCCTTTCCTCTCATCCTCCTTTCCTCTCATCCTCCCTTCCTCTCATCCTCCCTTCGTCTCATCTTCCTTTCCTCTCACCCACCCTTCCTATCACCCACTCTTCCTCTCATCCCCCCATTCGCCCCACCGTCGCCCACGCTTCCCCCCACCCTCGCCCACGCTTCCCCTAGACGGGACAGGGGAGTGGGGGAGGCGGGGCAGGGGGGGCAGGGGAGGCGGGGGGGTAGGGAGAGAGGGTGCAGGGATCCTCCTATCCCCTGTTCCACCCCCTGCCACACTTTCTCCTCCTGCCCTCCTCCCTTCCTCCGCATTCATACCCCTTCCTCCCTTTCTCCATCTCTCGCGTTGCGCTTTTTCTCCCCGCTGATATCTCTTCCCTTCCCATCGCGTTTGCGTCATCGTCGGTGGCAAGTACCGTCCGCCCTTCCACTCTCCATTCAGCCCTTTCTCCAAGCCTCTCTCCACCCTACCACTCTCCCACCCACTCTGTCTTTCATCCTCCTGCCCCTCCACCCTGCCGCCCTTTTTTTCAAGCTGCCACTTTCCGATCTTCCTGTCGGCCGCCTTTTCTGTCCGACCCACTTGCTACACCCTACTTGATTTCCTCACATCCTCCCATCCCCCCTTTCCCTTCCACGCCTGTACACTCCTCGCCTGTTTGTATATTCAAGGGGATTGCCCTTCGATTGTCATTGTTTCGTACAGTCCTTCCCAGCTGCTTCAACATACCGGTACCATATGACACATCAAATTTCATGGTTGATGATTAGTGGTATGACAAATAGGTAACCATGCCATGTATTGATGTTTATGAGTCTCATATTAAAACACTGTCGGCTTCAGAGCAGGGTTGCACATGGCCACAAAAAAGAAGTGGAACAAAGCATATAAAAGTTGTCAACAGTGGACTATAGGCACAATGCACAAAGCTAGGAGGTGGTAACTTTTCATCACATTAACTCATGGTGGTGGGCACCTGTCCAAGCATGGTTCTGTGATAGAACGGGGATGGAAGAGGGGGTATGGCAGATAAGCGAGGGTTGGATGTGGACGGGGCAGAGGGGTGAGAAAAAAAGGGGAAAGAGAGTGAAGACGGATGGGGGAGAAGAGAGTGAGGGGGTTGGGAAGAGAGTGTGCAGTGCGCAGGGGAGAAGAGAGTGTGGGGGGTGGGAAGAGAGTGTGCAGTGCGACGGGCGGGAAGAGAGTGAGGGGGGTGGGAAGAGAGTGTGCAGTGCGTAGGGGGGAAGAGAGTAAGGGGGGTGGGAAGAGAGTGTGCAGTGCGCAGGGGGGAAGAGAGTGAGGGGGGTGGGAAGAGAGTGTGCAGTGCGACGGGCGGGAAGAGAGTGAGGGGGGTGGGAAGAGAGTGTGCAGTGCGTAGGGGGGAAGAGAGTAAGGGGGGTGGGAAGAGAGTGTGCAGTGCGCAGGGGGGAAGAGAGTGAGGGGGGTGGGAAGAGAGTGTGCAGTGCGCAGGGGAGAAGAGAGTGTGGGGGGTGGGAAGAGAGTGTGCAGTGCGCAGGGGAGAAGAGAGTGTGGGGGGTGGGAAGAGAGTGTGCAGTGCGCAGGGGGGAAGAGAGTGAGGGGGGTGGGAAGAGAGTGTGCAGTGCGCAGGGGGGAAGAGAGTGAGCAGGGGGGAGGGGAGTGAGCAGGAGAGAAGAGATTGCGGGTGGGCAAGCGAGTGAGCGAGGGGGAGAGCGTGAGATGGAGAGAGTGAACGGCAATGGGAGGGGTAGTGGTGGCGACGGGCGGGAAGCGAGTGCGACGGGCGGGGGAAGCGAGTGCGACGGGCGGGGGAAGCGCGGGCGGGGAAGCGAGTGCGACTGGCGGGAAGCGAGTGCGACGGGCGGGGGAAGCGAGTGCGACGGGCGGGGGAAGCGAGAGCGACGGGCGGGGGAAGCGCGGGCCGGGAAGCGAGTGCGACGGGCGGGGAAGCGAGTGCGACGGGCGGGGAAGCGAGTGCGACGGGCGGGGGAAGCGAGTGCGACGGGCAGGGGAAGCGAGTGCGACGGGCGGGGGAAGCGAGAGCGATGGGTAGAGGAAGGGAAGGCGACGGGCGGGAGAAGCGAAGGCGACGGGCGGGAAAGGCGACGGGAGGGGGAATGTTGCGCGACGGGGTGGGGGGAAGTGAAGGCGACGGGGGGAGGGGAAGTGAAGGTGACGGGGGAGGGGAAGTGAAGGCGACAGGCGTGGAAAGCGAAGGCGACGGGCTGGGGTCCAGAAGGCATCGGGCTGGGGTCTTGGAGGCGCCATTTCACGCGGCTGCGATGGCGAAAGAGATCGGAAGCGTGGGACCTAGGGTAAGCGAGGGCGAGGAGAGAGGTTTACGCTTGGGCGAAGGGTCACGGTACGATATTCGCCGAGAGTTTACGCATCAGTTGCACCCTAAACCTGCATTTCGACACGAGCGAACACTATCTTTGTGCGTCGTCATCGAGATCCGCGTTACCCACATTCGTAAGCCGCCTCTGATTCCTCGCTATGTCTACAGGTATGCTATATGCCTAGTTATCTGCGTGCTATCCCAAACTGTGCACAGTTTGGGATGGACGCCCTTTTCTGGTTGTTGTGTGAGGGACCCCACCCATCACTCGAATTCTTGTACGCGATGGACTTTTGTCGCAATTTGGTTTCGCGAGTGAAAGTGGTTCGCACCCCAACCGAACCTCCGTCTGCCTGTCTTCCGAACCTAATTTTTCCCGTTGACTTCCGTTGAGTAATTCAGGTCTTGGGCTTTAACGGTGGTGGCGATATTTCGAATATCACAGGCTTTGGGGAGGGGGTGTAAACTTCTATCCACAGGCTGATGTGGCAAATGCTCGTTTTTGGTTGTGTTTTGCCTGTTTTTCACTTGTGTTTGGCAGGGAATCAGCCGTGGCAGCGTAGGATATCGTGTCGCGCTCCTTGACATTTCACATCAACGGCCCAAACTCCAACTTTTTTTCGTGCGGTCGAGATCGATTTCGATTTGGCGTAATGTTGTCGTTGTAATCGGAACTAGTCAATGACTGTACACCCTCATTCTCGATAGACTGGCATATGTTATACTGATCTAGACGCTTAGTGTAGCCGCACCGGACCAAAGAAGGTCCTATCACATGCGTTACAGTGACAATTTGACCCAGGGCGTTTAGTCAAGGTTTTCTACGTTCTACAATGGTACTGTTGTTTTCAAAGCGGTCAGGACGGTTATTCAACGTTAATGGTTTTTTACGGCCCAAGGCGTGTTTCAAACCCTCGTGCGACTTTGCCCGCAACCGACTTATCTCACCAGCCCGCTACGTCCAAACACTGTAGCCAGTGCTTCCGCCGGTGAGAGAGGTGAGAAAGAGGGTGTACAATTTTTGGGGGAAACCCCAGTGTTTGCAAGCAGGAAACGTGGCATTTTTTTCGTGAGGGAAGATTTTGTGACGCACGTGTCTGGTGTTTGCAAGAACGTGGTCATAAACAGCAGTTTCTAGAGTACACAAGATGCCCAACCCTTGCACGCGAATTTGCTCTGCCCGCGATGGAAACTCTGCACCCGTGTATTAGGGTACCAGGCAGTTGCACCCCATTTATAAGCACCTCGAGCAATACGAACCACAAAAACCGAAGTTTGACAGAAGAGACCCATGTCAAACGGTCAACAGCGAGTTACAAAATCTTTTAAAAGCCCTTTTTGCTAAGTGCGAATTGACGAAAGCTTAGCGAAATGCAAGAATCACTTAAGAGCCCTCTTAGCAAGGCAACCTTGGGTTAGTCAAACGGGCATCGTGTGTACGTAAGCAAGCAGGTGTGTGTCACGGTTCTTGAAATCTCGTGACGCCTTGGTCATACGAAGTCAAAACGCACTGTAATATTTGAAGGAAGTGCGTGGTTTCTTCCTATTGGTCGCGTCAAATCCGGTTCTCCAAACAGCACTTTTTCGCTGGCCAATATTTCGCAACGACCGTATTGGCTAACGGGAATGTCGCAACGTCACTCGAAGTTCAAAATTCGCGAAGTGTAAAATTCGCGATGCGATTTGAAATGTGTGAGTGAAATGCGCGGCTCGTTAGTGCGCGTCCTTTTTTCTTCGGGGGGAATGCGGTGCAATACGACGCTGCACGATTTTAAACGCTTTAATAAACAACTAATTCGGTTACGATGGGTATCGATTGAGAATGATACTAGAATGACGCGCCCTAATGCACACCCCTTCGAATTGAACCTGAATCTCAGCACATCTCACGACAACTATGTGTTCACGCGCTTCACATCACCTCAACCAGGGGGGTATAATATTGATGCAAATCACTCATGCTTTGTTTTTTTTTTTGCCTTCACTACACAGAAATTAGTCCTGCATCCGCCACTATGGAATGCCCAGACTGTAGTTCGGGGCCTTTCTACGTGTATTCTGCTCTAGAATCGCATAGAGGTAGTGCGGCTTGCAGAATAGCTGCTGCATCCAGAGGCGCAGAGGCGTCAGATTCCCCACCAATCCAACCCCCCGCTCAACGTCGGCGCGTGTGGAGTCCTTCCAGCAGTGAAAACGTATTCGTACCACCTACGTTTGATGACCCAGCCGATGAGGACGGTGTGGAAGCGGCAGCCGCTCGTGCCGCCGATGATCCGGAGGCATTCATGGCACGCATGAGTGACTCGAATGGGATAGCGGAAGTTTCTCAGATTCCCAACGGATCTAATCCGCGCCCCGCAGCTCCATTCTCCTTCAAGGACGAATTGGCACGCTGGATTCTCCAAGAGCGTATATCTCAATGTTCGGTAGCTAGATTATTTAAGATTCTTAGCCATGAAGGCGCGTCGTGGGCGGACGTTGCGGAATGGAGATCTTCGCGAGATGTGTACCGACATGTGCAATCGAGAGTGGCTGACTGTGACCGTTCGTGGAAGAAGGGGGTTACTCGCGTTGGAACAAAGGCATTTTTGACCTTTTGGTACTGTGATAGCTTGAAGGTATGTTGGAGTGTTTGCTCATGTTTTTTTCAGCGCCCCACTAATCCCTCGTCCCGACATGGCTAAACATTTGCAGGCCCTACAAGATCTGTTGAGTGAACCGAGACTTAGCCATCCGCTTGTTACACGTGCGCATAGAAAGAGAGTGAGGGGCGTGAGGGTGTATGACGCCCCCGAAACCGGCAATTTTTGGAACGACGTGCAAGTGAGTGCCTCCCCATTCTGCTATGCACCTATCCCTGACCGTTCATAAAGTTTACAGCACACCCCCTCTCTCCCTGCTCCCCATTCTGCTATGCCAGCCTCCCTACCTCTCTCTCACCATCGTGTTTTTTTTCCAGCACACTACCTCTCTCCCTGCTATCCATTCTGCGATTCCTGGCTCTCCCTACCTCTCCCTCACCATCCTGATGCATTTCCAGCACATCCTCTCTCTCCCGGCTATGCCCGCCTCTCCCAACCTCTCTCTCACCGTCCTCATTGTTTTTCAGCACACCCACACTCTCCCTTACTCCCATTCTGCTATGCACCTCTCCCTGACCGTCCTAAATTCTTCACGCATACCCTCCCTCTCCCTGCTCCCCGTTCTGCTATAACAGGCTCACCCAACTTCTCCTTAACCATCCTAAAATTTTCCAGCACACCACGTCTCTCCCTGTCCTGATTCTACTATGCCCGCCTCTCCCACCCTCTCCCTCACCGTCATATTTTTTTCCAGCACACCACCTCTCTCCCTGCTCCCCATTCTGCCATGCCCGCCTCTCCCAACCTCTCCCTCAACGCCCTTTGTTTTTCCAGCACACCCACTCTCTCCCTGCTCCTCATTCAGCTATGCCAGGCTCCCCCTGCCCCTCCCTGACCATCCTAATTTTGTCCAGCACTCTTTCTCTCTCCCTGCTAGTCATTCTGCCAAGCCCGCCTCTCCCAACCTCTCCCTGCTCCCCATTCTGCTATACCACAACCTCCCTGCCATCCCTTCTCTCTCCTGCGCTTCCCTCTCGCGCCTTGCCCCACATTCTGGTTTTCCAGTCCCTCTCTACCTCTCCCTGCCATTCCTTCTCTCTCCTGCGCTTCCCTCTCGCGCCTTGCCCCGCATTCTGGTTTTCCAGTCCCTCTCTACCTCTCCCTGCCATTCCTTCTCTCTCCTGCGCTTCCCTCTCGCGCCTTGCCCCGCATTCTGGTTTTCCAGTCCCTCTCTACCTCTCCCTGCCATTCCTTCTCTCCCCTGCGCTTCCCTCTCGCGCCTTGCCCAGCATTCTGTTTTTCCAGTCCCTCTCTACCTCTCCCTGCCATTCCTTCTCTCTCCTGCGATTCCTTTTCGCGCCTTGCCCCCCATTCTGGTTTTCCAGTCCCTCTCTACCTCTCCCTGCCATTCCTTCTCTCTCCTGCGCTTCCCTCTCGCGCCTTGCCCCGCATTCTGGTTTTCCAGTCCCTCTCTACCTCTCCCTGCCATTCCTTCTCTCTCCTGCGCTTCCCTCTCGCGCCTTGCCCCGCATTATGGTTTTCCAGTCCCTCCCTTCCTCTCCCTGCCACACTCTCTGAGTTTCCAGCCCCTGGTAGACCCTCTGTTGCTCCACCGTATCACCCCTGCACTTCCCTCTCTCTCCCTGCCACACTTCCGTGAATTCCAGGGTCACAACGGCCTGTCCCTACCCCTTCTTTTCTCTCCTGCACTTCCCTTTCTCTCCTGGCCTGAAACTGCGCAAGGATAGGCCTGTGCGCAACATGTCACTGCGCCAACGTCTGTATGCCTTTTTTACCACTATTTCTTCACACAGTTCCCTACTACATCCTATTCCCTAGCCATAGGAACTTATTTTACCTCGTTAGCACAACTACGCAGCACGTGACGCATGTTTGTGCGTTTGCTGGCCTGAAACTGCGCAAGGATAGGCCTGTGCGCAACATGTCACTGCGCCAACGTCTGGATGCCTTTTTTACCATTATTTCTTCACACAGTTCCCTACTACATCCTATTCCCTAGCCATATGAACTTATTTTACCTCGTTAGCACAACTACGCAGCACGTGACGCATGTTTGTGCGTTTGCTGGCCTGAAACTGCGCAAGGATAGGCCTGTGCGCAACATGTCACTGCGCCAACGTCTGGATGCCTTTTTTACCACTATTTCTTCACACAGTTCCCTACTATATCCTATTCCCTAGCCATAGGAACTTATTTTACCTCGTTAGCACAACTACGCAGCACGTGACGCATGTTTGTGCGTTTGCTGGCCTGAAACTGCGCAAGGATAGGCCTGTGCGCAACATGTTACTGCGCCAACGTCTGGATGCCTTTTTTACCACTATTTC